TCAAGAAGATATCTTTTACATTACCATAATTTTAAGCTAAACTATTTTATGCTTTTGCAAATGCATTGGTTTTATAGATGCATAGGAGTTTCAGCCTAAAAATTTTCTATATGGTTTTAAGTTTAGGACATTGTAACCACTGTAGGTAATATTGTGATCAAAATAATTTAAGTCAAAACTAGAGGTACATAAAAATTACTTGTGTGGAAACACTGTTCTAAGATATTTCTTTCACATTTCTGAATGCATCATGTAGCATTCTTCTTAAATATTTAGCCAATATTTAAAATTGGTTTGCATTCCATGGCTATGTATCATCTGTTACATTTGCTATGAGGCCAGGCAAAGTCTGGAAAGTATTAAAAATTCATCATGGATATGAATCATAAGTGGACTGTGTTCAATATCACTGCAGATAAATAATAGCTTTATTGACATATTCAAGTATGGCAATGTCAGAATCTTTTCCTTCCCCAATCTCTATTGTCTTTTCTAAAATATGTCAGACATGGCATATTCAACAACCTCCTAAAACACTGTAATTCCAGTTTTTCATTTCTAGGTCCATTTGCTCACTCGACCTCCAGTTGCACACTGTCATTGCCTACTAGATATTTCTACCTGAATTTCAAAATATTTCAAACTCATCCAACCCCAAATTCAATTCTTGCATTCTTATTCTAGACCAATGGTGCCACATGAACTTGATTTCTCAAACTCAAAACACTGAAGTCATCTCCATTTCTATCTTTTTATCACCCTCACATCAGTGGTCAGCAAGTCCTGCCAATTCTCTTTGTGACCTCTGCCATTGCCTCAGTTCAGGCTTGCAACATCTTGTAGCTGACAATTGAGATATCTGCCTACCTAGATTCCCTCCCATTAGGTACCTTCCAGACAAATCTAGCTTAAAACAGCGGAACATACATGATTTCATGAAAAGTTTTCAGTGAACTTGTCTATTTACATGGGCTGGCTTGGTTTACTGAGACTTCTGCCTTATTACTTTATGACTGTGAATCCTGAAGGTAAGAGCTCAATCTTGTTCATCTTTCTGTCTCAGTGTTGAACAGTTTTTAGCATGAAAATGCTTTCTATATACTACTGAATGTGGACAGGGAACTAATGAATGGCTAAGAACACAGGCTTCAGGATCAATCAGATCTAGGTTGAGTTTCTCTTCCTCTACCCTTAGTTGCTAAGTGACTGTGGACAAAGTAATGTTAATCCAGCGATTCTCAACTCTCACTACATTATGATTACTTTCAGATTACATTAGGATTGCACAATGAGTCTTAAAAGGCCCCCTCTTTAGCCCAATTTAATCAGAATATAAGAGGGTGGTGTTCAGACACTAAAATTTTTAATAGATCTACAGATGATCCTAATATACAGCCAAGATTGTGAATAACAACTCTTAGCCTTAATTTCTCATCTACTATTTGGTATCTATTTCAAAAGAGTTTTGAGCATATGAGGTGAATCAGCACAGTGCCTGGCACATGATAAGTGGTCAATCATGATGTTAATACACAATCGAGTTTTTTATCTTCTTCCTTCTCAATCGCTACTCTTCCCCTCCAGTGACTCTGCTTTATTTTCAATTCCTGGAGTATACACAGTTTCCACATTTGTGCCTTCACACTTGCTCTTCATCCTGCTCTGGCATATCCCTCTTAATCTTCAAGTCACATTCCAGGCATTTCCTTAATGCACCACTGCAATATGGAGATGGTTCATCTTCATAGCACTTGTCTCATTTGTAAGCACATGTTAATTTAACATTGACTTACTAGACTATAAGCAAGATGCCTGACCTGTTTTGCTTTCCTCCTATGGTCCAGTGCCTGGTAACTGTGAGGTGCTCAGGTCACATGTGTTGACGGGATGAGTGGATTAATAAATGACTCACTTTATAATCTCAAAGAGGCAAAATTCCTTTTTGTGTGTGTATCCCTCAGAAAAATGTATCTGTATTACATTTTTTTGTGTGTTTTGTGTGTTATAATGAACTATTTGAGGCTGAATACTTTTTAAAGAAAAGAGGTTTAATTAGCTTACAGTTTAAGGGCTGAAAGTTCAATATCAAGGAGCCTTATTGGTTCAGCCTCTAGTGGGGGCCTTCTGCTTACATGTGAACATGGTAGGAGCATCATGGTGGAGGCATTGCAAGAAGGAAAGATCACATGACAAGACAAAGACTTAGAGACCAGGGAGGGGCCAGGGTCACTCTTTTTATAACAATCTGATTTCTGGAAAATTAATCCCTTTCTACTAGATCTCAACTACTCTGACCAGCAGCAGCATCCCTTCATGAGAAGAAAGCTCCCATGACCTAATTATTTTCTAATAGGCCTCATCTTGTATAAGTTTCTACCACCTCAACATCACCATACTGAGGCCAACCTTCCAGAACATGAACCTTTGTGGGACAAACCACATTTAAACCTCAGCAGTATTCCTTATCAAAACACCAGAAAGAAAGAAAAAATCAACCAACCAAGCAACAACAACAAAAAAACAGAGTGGTCTCTAGTATTTTGAATTTCAGCTATTGAGCAGGAAAACTGCCTACATTTTTTTTTCCTGAATTTTTGAATGTTTTTAATTTGGATAAGGTTTCCAAGTCCAAAGTTCTGAGGAGCTTATTGTAAAGCATAGTCAGTCATAAACCCTTAGGCAATAATTAATGTTATTCTAACAATATCTCATTCCAATAATGCAAATAAATTTTATGGGTGTTTGTTTTAGCTAATGAAAGAGTTTTTTGGGTTTTTTTCCCTAACTTATCTTTTGATCTTTTGATTAGGAGATCAAACAACATATAAGGCTAGTAGAAAAAAAACTTTTCTCTGAAGCTACAGTATTTTCAAATCATTGATAATTCTATCAGTAAAAAGGACCTTAGAAATCATCTAAACCAATGCTTCATTTTACAGTTAAGACCATGAAAGCCTCAAAAAATGAGATTTACCAGACATGACTACACACGTTTTTATAACACCAACACAATCTGGGTTTCAAGAACCCTTCACCTGCATTCCACTGACATTACATCAATTTCAAAGTAATCTAAGGTTCTTAATTAATATTCTGAAATCAACTAATTTAGGATTTTAACATATCCATGATAACAAAAATTTAACCCAATTTCATGAGTTTTACATCAAGATCTCATGTTTCAGCACACATTCTTCCATGTGCTTGGTTCTCTAATCTACTTTATATTTTTCCAACTCTGAGCTCCCAGAGCTTTACATATCTGCATATTTATATTCAGTGTCCACTTAAAGACCACATCTTTCATGAAAACCATGCTCAAATCTAATAAATGACAAAACAGCCCTTTGTATTCCTCTTAAGGATTTTTTAAATTCAGCCTTGTACCGCAAAGAAATTACTGGAATGGATGTCAGACTCATAGAAATTGGTGCCACATCAGTTTCTTTAGTTTTAGATCCTGTCCCTCCTTGCAATTTATAAATATTTAAACTAAAATAAATGCCTTACTAGGCCAAAATTTTCCATTTGAATTTTCTAAGTATTTAAAAGAGTTGGGTTGGGGTAGGAATGAATTGTACATATAGGATTCATGGTGCTTTAATGATAACCATGATGAGGCAGGACAATTTGAACTTATAGTCTCTTTTCTGGATGCTTTTTTCCTTTTAAAATTTCTCTTCCATTTAGTATAATTAGCCCATATTTTCTTTTATTGGTAATGTAAAAACCCACAGGAACTATATTTAAGAGTTAGGGAAAACAGAAAACAAGTAGTGTTATATAAATACTCAGATACTTCTGTTGCAAATTTAGTTTCTCTTTAACTTTTCAGAAATAGATGTGTTATATTATAAAAGGATTAGAAACATTAAAAAGCCATCTTACTGGGCTGGGAATATAAGTCAGTGGTAGAGCACTTACCAAGCATGAGCAAGGCAGAGCATTTGATCCCTAGCACTGAAAAAAGCAAAGCAAAACAAAACAACGACAAACATCTTATTCTTTACTAATACATCAATAAATACCTTATCCTTTACCAGTTCAAAATAAAAGAAAACGAAGGAGTTTAACCAACTGACATCCTTTGTCAAACTGTTATGCAATTATTCTGGGCCCACATTTCATCTGAAACTTTCCTTAAGGTCACTGCTGTACGATCATATCCATAGTGTAGTTTGGGTTAAGACACCCAAAAAAAGTGTTATACAGAATAGCTTAGTAATGTAATACAGTCAAGAGAGATTTTGGTTTTTCCTTTTAAAAATTACCAAGGCCTTTTGGCATATATATATGGTTTGCTTATATACCGATGGCACCACTTGCATTCAAAACAAAAGTTCACGTTCACAATCTCCAAAGTTCTGTGTGGGCCGGTTAATGTTCTAAAAGTAAGGTTTTAGATTCACTGGGTATAATACTAATGACAATGAGGGGTTTTAAGGTCTGTGGTCTCTCTACTTTGGTGTAAATTTCTAAAGCCCTTCCTATGAAAACGACTGCCCTTAAACTACATTACCTGGTCGTCCTTAAGGAACGATTAGGAATGAAAAGTGCTACAGGATGGAGATGAGAGAGAAGTATCAAGTATTTTCTTTCAAAATAAATTATGGCTTCATAGGGAAGAAAGAGCAAGGAGTAAAGTTCCGCAAAAGCACTACATAGTGAGAGCTGGCGCCTTATCCTGAAGAACTTGGCCGCGGATCCTCTACAGCCCGCGACTCTCCGGGCTCGCAGATGAGGAACATGCAGAGGACTTTCTTGTCTGTGTGCGTGTGTCACTGCACGATTCTTTTACTCCGCCCACAGGATCGGGGCACCCGTCACAACCCACAACCGTCTACTTAGCAAACAGCTGATCCCGCAGCCTCCCACCACCTACACGGTCCACGCCTCCCACCAGCAGCCAATTTCCTGCAGCCCGGAAGCCCTGCTGCCCCGATTTTCTAGCCCCTTCGCCAGCTCCAGCGGAAACCGGAAGCTCTTCTGCCCCGATCGCCAGCGCGCGGCACGGCGGCTGCACAGGCGTAGTGGAGCTCCGGCGGAGTTGTGGGAGGGTAGAAGGAAGAGGCGGAGGGGGGACGGGGGCAGGTCCCAGAAGATGGCGGAGGCGGGGGTGAGTTGGGGTCTCCCACAAGAGCGCAGGTGACATGTTGCTGAGGGAAGCGGCATGAGGAAAGGCATAGCTCTCAAGAAGAGGAACCACTTGTGTTTTTTTGCAGCCGGGAATCCTGGTGGCAGGTGTGGGGATCCCGGACCGCAGATGGGGCCTGCAGGGCGAGGGGCTCCGCTTACCTGGAGAGAGGTCAGAGAAGTCCAGGAGAGGACAGCGGGCTTGAGATAGGTCGTAGGGGGAGCCGAGGCTCAGGGACAAAGGAAGAGTGTCAGAGTGGGAGGACTGCGGGAAGGGCGACCCTGGAGATCTGATGGAGGTGGAGGTCGGCCAGCTGTCAAGCATAGAGCTGTCAGGACCTTGGGTGGCTGGTAGCTGGGGAGAGAGACACAGACTTGGGGGGTGGGGGATGGATTCAAATTAGGCAGGTATCCTGGTAAATTTAGAACCCACCCAAATGATACGACATTGTTTTGAGGAGTAGGGCTTTGGTATTTTGGATCGGAATTGAATATCTTTGGAGTAGGTGTGTGGGTACAATCAAAGAGAACTTTTGGCTGGGTCTAGAGATCAGTTGATAATAGTTATTGGGATTTTAGGATCACTCAGTATAGTCTGGCATCCTGGAAGAGGAAAGCAATGCGGATGATGGGGATCGGGGCAGAGAAGGTGCTAAAACTAGTAATGATAATAACTGATGTCCAGGTAATGTTGGAAAACGTTGTTAAAGAATGGTATCAGCTAGACTGTCTTAGAAAATACACCATGAAAAGCTTGCTGTTTTGTAGGATCGGTGAGTTAAAAGAAAGGATAGGTTTGACAGCTGGGCGGCTGAAATTGGCTAGTGTCAGTATTGCAGTAGAGTCCAGGAGTGCTGAGGAAGACATGCTGCAGTCCTGGCTGCAGAAAAAACGAAGGCAGCCAAATAAGCTAGATTGTGTTTTCGACTTTTGGGTTTGCCATTGATACTGAACAACTGAATGAAAGAATACCTCCACTAATCAGTGACCCACAGAAAACTAAGTGGCCACTGTACTTACTCTTCTATTTTTGCCCTTTATTCTATCTCTGGACCTTGTGTTCAGTACCGTGATTTATCATGGCGTGTTTTTTCCTAGTAGTCAGTTCATATCTGGTGAAAATTGACCAAGCTGGGAATCATGTACACTTGGGAAACAGATTCTTCTAAAACTGACAACTGTTGCTTTTACAGATGGTTGCATTGAAAATGAAAGGGTAAAATGGAATTCAGTCACTTAAAGACAGTTTGTTTTTACTGTTATCAGAAAATTACCCCTAATAATAGAGTAACTTTTTTAGGGAGGGAAATTGATAATTTAAAACCAGCAAGGAGTTATAAATGCTGCTTGCTTAATGTTTTATATGTTAGATTTTTTTAATGTTAAGAGGAAAGAGTTACATTATATTCTTTATGGGAGTTAAACTATTTCAGTGATTTGTGTGTTTTTCTAATGTTAATAAGTATTCTATATTGGGAATGCTATTCTGAATGAGAGTATATGATGAAAAAGACATGATTTAACTTTATTATTTAGTAGTCTATCTGAGCAAGCACCTGAAAACACAGGGTAATCTGAGGGAAACAAATGTGCTGTTGTGGCTTCTAATCATCATCGGAAGATGAATGATCTTATTGTTTGGTTCTAGGAAATGTTGCAATTGTTGAAACAAAACCAGTTTTTTTAAGGTTACTAGGAGAATTTGTGTGTGTTTGTTTTCAAAAATGTCCGTTGCCTGTGAGTTGTTTCACTGGTCAGTATAAATTTTGATTTTCATTCAAAGAGCCCAGAATTGCTTAGAACTCTCTTTTATTTGTCTGAAGCAATAATATTAACAGATAGACACCTGGAATGATGTTTTTCCAGTATTGATGATTTGTCATTGATTAGCCAAACTATGTGAACTATTTTTCTTTTTGATCACTCACAAACTTTATAGAAATTGGAGCTCAGGACTCAAGGTAGAATTTTTTTTATGTCCCTTGGAAAGTATATCTTTTTAAATGATTGAAAACATTAGTTTGGAATTAATAGTAATTTATCAAAATAACTTTAAAAATTGTTTCCTGTGTGGTCCTTAAATTGTATTTATATGGTGTTCATAGACAGAGACAATGTAGTAAAGTGGAAGTCATGGAGTCTGTGTTTGGGCCTTGACCTTTTACTACCTGGTAACAGTTTGTGATTTTACAAATTCAACTAGCCTATTTGATTTTGTAAAATAGAGTTAAAAGCACTTGACTGTTTATTAACAAAATTATCATTGAGGATTCATTGAGATACTGCCCTTTAAATAGTATCTATACCAGAGACTTCTTCTTTGATCAGAAAATTATTTTTTAAATAATCTAAATTTTTAAAGATATATTTTTTAAAAATTTGGAGAATCAGATTTCTTTTTGATGTTAAGAGTAATGTTTAAATTAAGCAATGATAATTCCCTTGAGCTTTCCTTTAAAATAACTACCCCTCCTAAGTGCATGACTGATATAAACATGCTTTTTTTTTAAAAAAAAATATTTATTTACTTTTTTAGTTGTAGTTGGACACAATACCTTTATTTTATTTATTTATTTTTTATGGGGTGCAGAGAATCGAACTCAAGCTCTTACACGTGTTAGGCAAGCCTGGTACCACTTAAAGGAATTTTGTTGTTGCAATGTAGGGGGGTGGTGAATAGACTTAAGGAATTTCCTATCCTTTTGACCACACTTTGATGAGTGTGGTCATTTCCAGGTGTTCACTGTATATATTTATAGTCAAAAGATCCAGTAGTACAATCTTGATCTTGTCAATTCACTTGACCCCTTTGTGTCCCATTTGCCTTGCTAGGAGAGTGAGAGAACTTTTAAATCTAGCTTTGTTTAGTTAATGGAGTTTTTGAGTACTTGATATAAATTGTAGAACTTTTAGAAAAATGCACACATGTACAAGTTTTTTGTTTTTGATTAGTCTGAGGGTCAAACACCCTCATCTATGGAGTAGATGATCTCCGAGTTCCTTTCCAGTTCTTAAATTTTAGAATACAATGATTGTAAAGCGTTGTAGCTTTTATTTTTGTCCTCAGTAATTATATACCATTGTATTATGATACAGACACTAAGTTAGCTTTTTGGATCACATTCAAACATACATCAAACAAATGTTGTTATTTTTAAAGAAAACTTGTGGAGTGAAGTAGGAAATTATAAAGAGGCACTGCCAGGAAAAGGTGGATAAACAGCTGTGGTAGAAAACATAAATGGACAGTTTAGAAAGTCTTTAGCAGCCTTGAAATAGAATGAGGAAACAAGTATCTAGTAATCAGTGGCTCTCAGTTGGAAGACAGTGCCTCCCTTGGGGCATTTGGAAATGTGGGGACAATTTTGGTTATCTCAGATGGGGGAAGCTGGCATTTAGTGGGCAGGAGACAGGGATGCTAAATAATATGCAAGGCTTAGAGCAGTTTCACATAACAAGGACTTGTTGGGACATAACTGTCCTCAGTGCTGGTACACTGACAAATTCTGGCAAATGATTGTGAGATAGGAGCTAGCACAACTAAAACTGAAGTTATTTTGTTCTTTTAAAATATTATTAAGAATAATTTTTTTGCTATTAATTATTGTTTGGAAAAATTCAGAGACAAGTGCTGCACTAGATTTGGAACATACTTGGAACATAAATTCATCCTCTTATATCTGTCCCTGCAGCAGAGTCAGTGGGGTTTCCTTGCGGCTGAAGTTTGGGAAGCAAAGTCAAATGTTGATCTCATAAAGTGTGTACTTAGCCAAAAAGTGTTTACTTATCCATTGAGATGCTTCTTTTTTTACTTTAAAATATCTCCATGGTAGGAATAGTCTGCAATACCTGTTCAGGAGAATTTCTGAGCATTTTCAATTGGCATGCAGAGTTTGTTTTTCCATAATTCAGCTGTAATATGTACTGTAATTTTCACCTTGATCTAGTACTTTAAAAAATTTCAAGGTGTTTACATTTATTCTCATCATCTCTGTGCTATTATGTTGTCTCCTACTCATATTGGCATTTGTACCTGGAGACTATGTTGCAGTTGATATGGTTTCCCAGTGTTTACACATCTCTTTCAGTTATCAAGTAATTTTATATAGACCCATGTGCCAAAAACCAGGTCTAGTAGGTGGAGTGGGATTCAGCGTATGGAGGAAAGAGAATAAATTTGGGAATAAGACCTGAGGTAAAATTCCAGTTCTAATTCTGCATGTCCTATGACCAATAAATAAATGCAAAATCTCTTTGACTTAGGATCCTCATGAGTAAAATGAGGATAATTCCTACCTTTAGGATTATTTGAAGATCAGAATTACTCTATTTATGGCACAGAGAATGAATGGTCTCTGAATTACTAAATGCCTATTAATAGTGATAAAGAAGAAGATGATGATGTGATGATGATCATGATGAATTCTGTGGTTACTGATCCTTGCTATAAATGTCTAGAACATATGATGTGCTAATATACCTGTTTACCATACCATGGCAGGAATAGTCTACAATACCTATTCAGAAGGATTTCTGGGCATTTTCAGTTGGTATTTAGAGTTTGTTTTCCCATAAATCAGCTGTAATATGTACTATTTTCTGCAGTCCAAAAAACTGTAGAGCTCAGTTATACTATAAACTACCTAAGATTGTAAGGATCAGCTTAGGGACAGTATTCCCCCTTGAGTGTTGGGCATAAATCTTTCGTTGTATCAAAGCCTGTTGTTTGTTTATCACATGGAGCTGATAAGCTGTGAAAGTTACTAGTACTTACAAATATTCTCATTTTCATAATGGTTATTTCTCATGTCAGCCCTATCTCCTGCAGTTTACAGTTGAGTTTTGTTCCAAAATTCATTTATGAGATAGTTTGAAAATTGGAAACTCAAAGGCAATGAATTTTAAATGATGATTAAAGGCCTTCCAGAAGGCCTGCTTAACCCAATATAGTTTGATTTAAGAAGAGTAAGCCCAGTTTAACTACACAAGCAGGAATATGTGGAGCTCCCACTGTGGGCTAAGCAGGAACCTTGCTGGGTGAATAAGACCTACATGTAAAGTTTATAACCCATAAAGCAACTATACATATAATTATAAGGTAGCTATTATAAGTGCTATCTAAAGTTTTAAACTGCTTTGGGATCCAAAGGAAATATTACTTAAGTACTGACTTATAAAGATGCCCAAGATATATTGTAGTTGGGAAGGATGAAAGTAAATTATAAAAAACAGCCTGTGTAGTATTTTCCTATTTAAAAATTGTTAGTATTCATAAAAAACAAAAGCATATGTGACAGTTTGGGAGGCTGAACATCATGGTAAGAGCAAGGGCTTTGGGCTTAGACTACATGGATTTGAATCCCAGTTCTGCCTCCTCCTACATATGTAAACTTGGTCAAGTGGCTTAAACTTCCTTGTGTGGCCTGTGAAATAGACACAAGAATTGTGTTTACCTCTCAAGGTTATTGTTAGGGTTCAAGGATTATCACGTCAAGTGCTTAGAAAGGTACATAAAAGCCTCACATGTTATTTAGCTTAAACACACACAAAGGAAAGACAACTGCATTAGTCCATTTTGTGTTACTCGGATGAAATACCTGAGTTAGGCAGACTTTATAAAGAAAATAGTTGTTTTTTCTTTTCTTTTTTCTTTTTTCTTTTTTCTTTCTTTCTTTCTTTCTTTCTTTCTTTCTTTCTTTCTTTCTTTCTTTCTTTCTTTCTCTCTCTCTCTCTCTTTCTTTCTTTCTTTCTCTCTTTCTCTCTTTCTCTCTTTCTCTCTTTCTCTCTTTCTCTCTCTCTTTCTCTCTTTCTCTCTCTC